AATCGATTAAGACAACAAATAAATCAAATTAAACGCGCCGAGAGAGAGAGCTCACAAAATCATTATATTCATACAACCTTTTAGTTGACTTTATCTTCTGTATTTAGACGAATGTACTTCATTGATAAAGTTCTCTGACTTCGATTCCTGGAGAAGTCTTGATAGGCACCAAATAAAATATATCTTCCTTCTACTATTTAACTTATTATTATAGTAGCTTGGTTTCGACTATCGGCGTTGACTTAGCGGGAGACAATATGGACTACGTTGATCTCATCTGGGATACTCTGGCGTACTCCTAACTAAGGGCGTTGGCCTTATGGAGACAATATAGGATGCTTCTCTCCTCTATGAGAGCTCCTGACGTACTCTCGAATTCTGCTAAATTTCGACTATATCTCTTAATCAGCGACCAATCAGCATGTTTGATTTCTTTCACTTGAACGGATGAAAAGGGGGATAAATGAGGGGTCGTCAATTCCCTGTGTGGTGAGATTTGTAACAGATAAGGGAAAAACAAAGGATGTTTCTACTTCCATCAAAGGAAGTGACTGTTTTATCAGTTTTCTCACGTTAGAAAACTGTTAATTTCTCACCAAAACGAAAGAATATTTTTCTACAAAAATTAGACTTTATTTTTAAATTATTATTTAGACCCAGGGGCTATTCGGATCTCACATATATAAAAATAAATGTATGTGTGTCTGTCCTTCATGCATTACCACACCGTTTATCCGATTGCCATGAAACTTCGGAAAGTTTTTTAATACACTCCCGCGAAGGTTTCTGGCATAGTACATTTATCCTACGATAGATGGCGCACGTGTATACGAGCATTTCAGATTCTGAAGACCATTTCCCCCTCCAAAAAATATCTGTATACAGTAGAGCATCGATTATCCGACTCAATTGGGGACTGGGGTTGGTCGGATAATTGAAAAGTCGGATAACCGAAAAGTATGAAAAAATCCATTATTAGTGTAGTATATTATTATATCCCATGTAATTAGTATATTAGTATATCGGTATATCGCTATTAACATACTTCGCGTTGAATTTTCCTCCATTTTAAAACTATCAAATTTTTTTAAAATAATAATTGTCGCTATTGTATCGTTAAAAATTAGAAAATTAAGCCTCGTTTGAATACTGGCTCCCTTTCATGGTCGATCCAGTGTTGCCAGCTAAAGCACGTAAAAATAATATTAAAGTAGCCAAGACATAGCCAAATATTGTAGTGCCACATCACTAGCGGACATTTNTTTTTTTTTTTAATCGAAAGGTCTGTTGCCATGGTTACAATTAGAACATTAAAACTCTTTTCAACCTGAAATAGTTAATAACTCGAAAACTCTTTAACTTAGACCTCCTAAAATTTTTGACATTACTCACAGTTGAATTGGGAGTATGAATCCGTATTCAGATCCGGATAAGCGAACCAAGCTTTCCGGATAGATGATCCGAAAAATTGTCGTGTATTAGAACGTCTGTAATTCAAAAATGATAAGTCCCACAGACTTGATCTTGACCTCGTTTTAATCCTTATTTTATACGCTTCCAAACAATATATGATACGATTCACTTAATTAAAAAATATTACGAGAAAACTCAATTTAAAACAGAGACCAACTTGCCATAATTCCAAGCTCAGCGCCCTCTAGCGTCATCCCAGCTGTTAAATACAGCTGTTAAATACAGTCGACCCACCTATAACACCGTTGATAATTCCGTTTTGTATAAATTCCATGTTGTACGAGTCACTTAGATTTTACAAATACATGAGCCGTTCACAGCCCGGCACACGTATGGTATTTGTAAAATCTAAGTGATTCGTACAACATGGAATTTATATAAAACGAAATTATCTGGCTCATGTGTACACTCGACCCCCTATAACGCGGTAGATACGTTCCGCTTTATAAGAATGTCGCGTTGTAGGAATCCTCAAATACATGAGCCAATCACAGCACTATTATAACAACAAAATTACAGAAAAAATTTAAACTAAACTGTTAAAATAAGGTCATTGTAATGGCGTTGTGGCCTAAGGAAAAACAGGAAATGTGTGTGACTAAAGTCACGTGCTATTTAATATATATATATATAAACTAAAATACTATATTTGACACTTTTTTTTAATAATGGGGGAAAGGAGTTTCTCTAAACAAAAATTATTTAAAAACTGTTTATGTTCCACTACCACGCAAAATCATCTTAATAGTTTGGCCACTTTGGCGTTTGCGCCTGAAACTGCCGATCAAGTAAACTTAAAAGAGTTAATAAAAAAATTTGCAGAACTAAAAGTAAGAAAAAAGTTTCTTTTGATTTTAGTATAGTTGATGTAATTTTGTGTAGTTTCTACAGGATATAAGTTTTTTGTTTGATTGTATAATAATACATTTTTGTTATCATTAAAAATGCATCTAGTTAACAATTTGTAATTAAGTACAGGTATATTTTAATTTTTACCGTTTTGTATTACTTGATTGTTAATTTTATATTACATGTTTCTCTCTAAATAAATTTAAGGGGCGGCAATTTGTCCGGGGCAACATAAATGCTTTAGCGGGCGCTGCTCTTAGGCTACGGTTACGGTGGATGCGAATTCTGACGAAATCTTGTTCTGACGAGTACGTCCTAAATCCTCGTCATAACAAGGTGGGTACACTGTGTGCGTTTTCTCACAGTACGTTTCTGCCTCCCAGCAAAATGGACGAACTTGATGAGTTTTTTTTTTTTCTTGAAAGTCCGTTGATTAAGTTATTGTTGATAGGTGGTGGGAAAACAGAGCATGTTAACCACTTATTTTCCACAAGAGACAATAAGGGAGAGTTCCAAATGTTATAAGATTTGTGGAACAATCCGCAAAAGTTTTTCGAGTATTTCAGAATGAGAGCTATCTCTACTGAGAAATATCTCTGTTGTGATAGTTTTTGTTTTTCATATCCCACAAACACCTATTCTCGAACACAAGACTAATCAATTTATCAATATCCATGTTGAAAAAACCAAAACACTCGAAATTCAACGTCAGAACGCACGAAAAAATCAAACTCGTTTGAACGCTCGAATGGTTCTGACTACATACGCACGATGCCAAAGTAAACTGTCTCATTGGAAAACAGGTATTTGTTTGTTCGGACGAATTCGTCAGAACTCGTCAGAACAAAATTTCGTCAGAATTCGCATCCATAATAACCTTAGCCTCAGACTTCGTTCCTTCCCTACAATTCTCGTATGCCACGTTAATAAGAAAAGATTATATTGGGGTCAACGTCTTATGTATCAAGCTTCAAATTTCCCGAGGATAAGTAGTTACATAAAAAATGGTCTATTAACCGTGATAGATTTAAAGTTAATGACATCACAGTTATGAATAAGACACTTTGAATCTAAGTTTATTAAAAACGAAAAGGTATTTCTTGTTGTAAACGGAGATCCTATAATTATTTCCTGTACCCAGAAAAAATCCTAAACGTAAGAACAATACATGTCTTTCCAAACCGATCTTCATATCTTACTATAAACCTTCAAAACGACAGGAAGAATCCTGAGAAACAAACACAATTGCTCCAGGAAATACGAAGAGGATTTTAACAGATGATATGAAAAAGACAAGATTTGTAATTTCAAATTATTTAAAGAGGAAGTTGTTAAGTGGAATCTCAGTTCTTTTACAGTAACTGCGAAATAAGATTAGGCATATGTGGTGCTTGTGAGAGTGGAAAATGATTATTTAAGTGAAATTTCTTCAGTTCCTATAAGCTTCAAAATAAATAATTTGATGGTCTATGTGTTTTATAAAAATATATGTTTGCTATCAGAAAAGTTTAAGTGAATTTTAGAACCTGAAGGTAAGAAAATGTTAAATGTGACAAATGGAGCAAGTTTTTTTTATTTATATACATATGCCTGTAGAATGTTATGAGTCTTTTTTTCATTTCTGGACTTACGGCGTGTAAAAATACAAAAACACTTTGAGGTAAGAATTTGACAAATTATGATTTATTTATTAATAGCTCCAATGTGTAACAGTTCATTTTATAAGAAACAAACTTTCTATTTTTCTGCTATTATATATAAGCGATGTTTAGCACATTTAGGGCATTAAGCGGTCCTTTTATTCTCTTCAGTAGTACATTCATCCAAATCCACAATGGCATGGCCGCTCGTAGGGGACAGAGTCTGACAGAGAGGGAACAGACTACTCCCGAATTCCTGTGTCCTTCCCATCGCCTGGATTCGATTTCCAGTTCCTGCAGAGCAGCAGACCTTTCGATAACACCGATTGTATTAGTTCATTCATCTTCCACTTAAGCGGATGAAGAGGAAATTAAAGAAGTTCTGATATCATTGCAGTACGAATTAACTCCTGCACATTGCTGTATATATATACTAGCAGGTGGGCCCGGCGTTGCTCGGGCAAAAGTAACGATAACTAAGATAAAGATTATTACGTTACAGTCAACCTTACCCGTTTTCACAGAATGCAAGAATTGGGTTTCCTTGTTTCCAGACTAATTAGAGAATTTGTAGATGGGTCTAAAAATATGTTCGATTTCCCGCAAAAACGAAAAAAACTGCATCTACGTATTGCACGTCGCTTTCTCTTAACAATTTCATTGTTACGTAACATTTCCATTGTTGACACTTCCATTGTTACTTAAAACTTCCATTGTTACTTAGCACTTCCATTGTTACTTAGCACTTCCATTGTTACTTAACACTTCCATTGTTGATGGAAGTGTTAAGCCTTAATCCTGTCCCTCTCCCCCGTGGGGAGGAATTTCGAAAAATCCCTTCTTAGTGTGCGTTTTCGTGACGTACCCTATCTGTGTACCAAATTTCAACTTTCAACTCCTAACCGTTTGGGCTCTGCGCTTATTATTATTATTATTATTATCAACCCGTCTCGATTATATATTAGATAAGTTTGAATCGTAAAAAATTATTATATTAAAGATATTACTGTGTTTTTTTAAACTTATTTTATTCTTATTTTAAATTATTTCATCATTTATCTACAGTTTTTTAATATGCGTCATGAGTCATGAAATTATTAAAAAGTTTTAAATTAATGTTAAGATTTCATCTTAAGAAATATTAGTACTGAATGTTCTTTTATAATTTTAAATTAATGGCACCATTTTCAATCGGTTTGGCATTTGGATGTGCACATGTAGCATTAACATATTGTACTTTCTGAAATAAAAATTTAAAATGAAAATGTTATATATTAAATAAACTTTGTTAACTATAGCGAAACTTTTAAACATACTCCATTTTTACGTCTAATTTCTTCCGGTACGCATTTTAATCCTTCTACACAAGGACAAAAATATATATGTCTTTCGTCTTCTATAGATGAAAACGGCAAACATAAGTCTCCTATTAAAAAATTGAAGTTTTGTCATTACGGTTTATTTATGCTTTCATGTTATCGGAGACTAAGAATAATTGTACGCCAGTGTTAATAAAATATAATATATAATATAAAAGATAAAAAACTATTTTATTTTACAGACCTAGTTTTCCATATGTATGACAGATTCCTCCCCAGTACGTGGAAATACAACACCTTCCCTCGCCACAATCTTTATCCTCCATGCATTCACTATTTGCTTCCTACAAATAGTAAATAGATAAATTAAGTCATAGCATAACCAATAAATAGAATTTACTGTAATCAATTCAATTTTGATTTTAATAAAGTATAATTCACTGATAAATTTTATATGCCAAAGTAGAAGATGTATATTCTTGCATGGTAAGCTAACATCTTGCACATATATAATCCTCATTATATATTATAGATAATGGGTGTTTCGTTTGTCTTCCCTCATCCAAACTGACCCGTTTAAACTCCATTATGTTCACAAAGAAATATTTTATACAATATCTTATACGAAAACAAACTGAAAATAATATACACTGCTAGCCATTAAAATTGCTACACCCTGAAGGCTGCACGCAACAAACGCAAAATTTGCATAAAAGGTACATGCTGGGTGGTCTGTACCTCAAGATTACCTATCAATTTAATCACGTCTTCCTCTCATTATACTGTATGTGTACAATAAACATGATTCTGCTAATTACTTTCCTTCTTGGTGTAGCAATTATAATGGCCAGCAGTGTACATGAAATGGATTTTCTAGCCATAGATCACAGCCATTATTAAGTTTTATTTAATGTGTTTTACCATAACGCAAAATAACTAAAATGAGTTATGGTTATTAAAAATATCGGCAAGCGATTATAGTAAAAGTTCTCAAAAATATTCGAATTTTATATATATAAAAGAGAAGTTCTCACCTGTGACGGAAACAAAATGATGAATAACAATAGGAGTAAATAGAACATAATGCTTTATTAATTTTATCTCAATTTCATTTTTATATTTCTTCTCCTGGGATTTTCCCAGATGATACGTCTAAAATATCTTTTGTAATGCGATAAGCATTTACAAATTGTTCTTTCGAGATTAAAAACTATGATTATTAACGTTTTAAATGTTTTTATTTGATATATTTTGTGTAAGACTTGCTAAAACAAAGGAAAATTAAGTATTAGATTTTCTTAAAATAAAAATTTTATGTTACTGTTTAATATATTATATAATCTAATATTAACGAAAACTAAATTAACGTATAGAATAATGAAATATCCAAAGATAATTACTGAGTTCATTTTTAATTTTATCTACAATAAATACCAGATGTTTTGATTGAATTATAACTGTAGTTTGCGTTAAGAGATAAATTTATGCAAAATATATTTGTTTTTATAATCCGTATTATATACCTATTCTATATTTTAACAACCACTCTCAATCTTTCATCTGCCGTGGTCTTCTTTGAAGTTTTAAATCAACTTTTATAGCACCCTTAATTTTACTTTTACGGCTATTAGGTCTATGTATTATATATGTAACAAGGGAAAGTATGGGAATCGTATCAGATTTGACCCTCCGAGTTTTTTGCAAATCTCCACGTTTTGAGACTTCCTGAATCCAATAAAGTAAAAAAAATTCCGTGGATATGATTGTGTACGTGTTGGCGTTTATTTCGCTTCATATCTCAGGATGTGGTAAAGATTAAGGAACGAAATTTGGGTTGGTATCTTGTATATAAGGAGCACTGTTGCTATTAAACCTTGATTGTGAAAAGTCAAAAAGGGTAGGGAGATAGAGGGTGGTCATGTATCTCGAGATAAACTTAATGACGATTCTATTCGTTATTGATTGCTCCTTTTACCTCCAACGTAAAATAACTGTTTCGCCTTCTTAAACAATTTCCACTAATTTTTTTTCTTGTTATACAACATTTACTATCATACCGTACATTTTTATATGACTTTCACGAGTGTAAATTTAACAACATAAATTAAATCCAAAGCCATTGGTGCTTTAACTGTACATTTCATTAGACCATTACATATGAGGATTCCTCCACAATCATCTAATAAAACATTTCCTAATCTAACAAGCAAGTGGAGATGTAAGTGCATCTCTCCATATTGTACGTTTACAAAAAAATTGTCTATTAGAAACTCCAAATAATACATATGGGATCATTGAAAGTAGAAGTAGAACTGGTGAGTAATCTGAACCTATCTCTGATAACAAACACAATTCAATTACAATATGAGTGTACAGTACTTGTATATGATTTTGTGATAGTGTGACATACCATCACAAAATCAATCACACTACCTCCCTTTGTTGCGTTGTAAGTAAAGTTACCTTCTGCAACTCCTGATAATAAACCGTTTAAACAAGCAAAATTGTTACGTGTATTCCTCACAAAAATGATAAAAAAAATTTTTCTTCTAACATTAATTTTATGGAAGAAAACTTTTCAAACAGCCGTAGTCCGTAAACAGCAAACGTGCCGGGCTGTGGTTGGCTCATGTATTTAAGGATTCCTACAACGCGAAATTCTTATAAAGTGGAACGTATCTACCGCGTTATAGGGGGGTCGACTGTATTTCATATGTTAATATATTAATTTCTTGTTCTCTCATATACGTTTTTATTGTTCTGAAAAATATCTTTCTTATTTCCTTTAAATATATATTACACTAGCTGTTACCCGCAATTTCGTCCGCGGAGGTTTTGCAAGCAAACCCCATTTACATTCAATATTTCAATAACCATAGTAATTGTCATATAACACCTACCGCTGAAGAGAATTGCCGAGAATCAAACGAACTATCTTCAATTTTATCAATGTTCTAAAACGTTTACAACCGTTCTATAGTCGAACCAATATGCAATAACAAATTTGAATTCAAAACGGATCGAACATTTTTTTAATCGAAATGTCTGAAATGTTATCAATTTAATACACCTAAGTACTCAATGAAAACTGAACGTAGTTGAAAACAAAAAATCGCATCTAAAATAGGACAGTAGAGCCGTTATTCCGATTAAGCCTTAATGCTCTACCTCTTCCCTCGTGGGGGAATTTCGAAAAATTTCTTCTTAATGTGAATTCCCATGGCATACCCTACTAAAACACATATAAAAAGAAAAAAATCGCATCTAAAATAGTACAGTAGAAGCCGTTTTTCCGGTNGAAGACTAAACGTAGTTGAAAACAAAAAATCGTATCTAAAATAGTACAGTAGAAGCCGTACTTCCGGTTAACCCTTAATGCTCTCCCTCTCCCCCCCACTTGGGAATTTCGAAAAATCCCTTCTTAGTGTGCGTTTTCATGACGTACCCTAACTGTGTTCCAAATTTCACCTCTCTAGGTCCAGCGGTTTGCTCTGGGCGATGATGAATCAGTCAGTGAGTGAGTCAGTCAGGACAAGCAATTTTATATATATATAGATTTTTGATTTATAGAACAATACGATTTAAAGTTTAAAGTTAATAACATTTTTAGCACTATATGGTTTTTCGAATTTACAATATTCAAGACTATCTGTAAATCGTTATATCTAAGTAATTTATTTTATTATAATTTATGGTTTCTTAAGTGAATTTAATATTTGAATTAATCTCATTGGCTTGTTTTAATATTTGAATGAATGTCGTTATTATGCCATTGTATATAATCAATATGTTATCAACATACCTTGCAAAAGATATAATGCCCTTTAGGTTTGATAAAGTTTTGTCCGTATCTAACATATAGATTTCTGTTAATTTTGGTCCAATAACTGAACCCATGGAAATGCCATCAGTTTGGCAATAAAAGTTTTCTTTTACTGTAAAATAATTATTGGCCAGTTCAAAACTAACTAAATCTTTTAAATAATTTGAAACTCCATACTTATATTAATTAACATTAACAATGTAAAAATTGTTTATAAAGAAAAAAATAACGTAAAAAGAAAAGTTAAAGGATATTTTGCCATAATTATGCAAAATAATACGGTTAATTTAAATACCGGTGTGCGTGCTGGGAGACTTTTGTGGGATATATAAATGGAAATTCGTAATGGTAACTCTTGATGGAAAATTGTCGGAGTTTAAACTGTATACTGAAAACCTTACTGAGAAGGCCTAATATTTTTGGCGAAATGCATTTAGGGGATTTAACAATGTAATAAAGTATTTTTCTCTGAAAATTTGGTTTTCCTTTACTTTTTTTAACTTTAATTTTTATTTCATTATTGATGTAATATTTTAGAATTTATAAGTTATCTAACCTTCGTAAGTCAGAAAGGAAAGAAAATTTCATTTTTCGTGTACTGTAGTTTTCTACAATACAATTAAGAATTGTACAGTACATTCATTTGCTGGCTTTACACGTAGCGCCATCTATCGGCAAAACATTTAGTTAAATAATAAAGTAAATTATATCCTTATATATATATATATATATATACACACACTTAAATCAATTACTGCGACAATGATATAGCACGAAATAGACGCGCTATACCATTACTAAGACAGGTAGCGCATAGCAATTGCCTGCGTAGAATAGAAAGTATTACCCTGTGAAAAGTTTATGAATATTTAATTTCCCACATCCAACAATTTGGGTTTTTTTCATTTCTGAATGATACTTCTTTAATTCTAATAAGTGCCGTTATTATTATTTAACTCACTTTTATTTCTATATTTTCACTATTTCTAGTAGCTTTTATTTCTATATTTCTAGTAGCAGAGTAGCTAAAACCACCTAACACTGGTATTTAGTCGTGGGTTCGGATATGGCCAACGAGCTATCCACGTGGAGTTTTCCAGGTTTTCTTCACATTAGTAGCGAAGTTGCTGCCGACGTTTTAGCGTTGAAAACATCGGCCGCAACCTCTCTATTAACGTCTAAATAGGAACCATCTTCTCAAGTCTTCCCGGGATGCATATCTCTCGCATTTCGCGTTGCAATAACAAAATAAACTAAAGTAATTCTTATAGTTTTTTCGTACTATATTTACGTTACTAGTAGTGTATTAAACGGATTACACGAATACCAATAGTACTATAGTCCATAGACTATATAAATTATTCACATCTTTTAGCGGATTCTATCAGGGTTTACGCTAACAGTTACGTAGGATCACATGATAAATGTTTACATCGTCGTAATTGATCAGGTGGGTGGAGACTTTCATGCGCCTTATTCTGTATCGGCGGAGGGGGTCGACTCTCCAAATTTACTATCCAAGAAGTCGTCTTCCGAGTAAGTATTCTCGCGATCTAACTCCTTTCTTCTGTTCACTTATATTATCAATTATCTTTTTATATAAAAGATTTCACGAGTAAATTAATTTAGATTTGTTTTGCCCCGTTTTATTAATTTAGTTGACAAAAATTATTCAAAATTTATATTTTATTACTATAAAAATCGACATTTTCAAGTGATTTATAAACATTCTTGAATATTTGAAAAAGTATTCTTTAATTATTTCTTTCTAAAATTCATAATATTGCCGTTATTATTATTATTTAACTCACTTTTATTTCTATATTTTCACTACAATTTCTTTACTTACTTTTTATTTAATATTATTAATAGGGCTTGACTTAGACTTGTGTCCTAAGCGGCAGCATATGACAGACCCTTTTCCCTCCTCAAATAATGTTACGTGAGGTAATTGAGGTCCTAAGCTATAGACTTAAAGGGTGTAATCTATCTGCTAATCCGTTCTCAAGATTTGATATTTAAATGAATCCTTTAACTCATAGAATTGAAGTTTATTATACATCTGGTCGTTTGTATAAAAATATTAACATCTAATAAAGGTGCACGCATGATAATCCACATTATTTAAAATTTTGGTGGCTTCATCTGTTATGATATTTAATTAAAACTATAAAAGGTTTATTTTTATTAATTATAAAATGGCAAAAAGCTTAAGTTTAAAGGTAGAAATCAATTTTATTTAAAAAAATAATAAAAAATAGTAAATTCAAATAACCAGTAAAATTATTTCCTACAGTTTTTCCTCTTTTTTGTCCTTCGGGTTTTGTTTTCTTAAATGTCTCTTCTTAAAAATGGCTGAAGATTTTTACACATTTT